TTTGCCCTTTTCTGTGCTTGGACAGAACAGATTTGACTCAGGACTTTCCATATAGACATTATGTAAGCCTTAAGACATGGCTGCATGGAATTTAAAGCTTTGCACTGATAACAAATGCTTCTCTATGCTCTGGCAGCCTAAAAGATGGGAAGATGTCTTGTTAAGTTTGGATTCGCTGTCTTCTTCTCACTCAAAGGTCCCAAAGACTTTTGGGATATAGTTGCTTCCTATGAGGAAAATGAGAAGAAAAGGCAAAGATAACGATTTATGCAGTAAGTATTTGTGCTAAATATTTTATGTGTATATGACCTCATTTATATTTCAAGACAATCTTCTATCAAGCAACAGGTACACTAAGAGACTCAAAGTTGTGGTGTTTAAGTAACTCAAAATTACTCAGATAGTAAGTATTAGAGCTGGATTCAAGATACTGGAAGGAATAGATAGGAGAAAACGAAAAACAGAGACATAGCACTGTTGGCCAGGATCATCCTGGTTTAAAAATTCTGTCCCATTGTCAGGATATATATTCAAGTAGTTTAAAAACATGTTCTATGAGAAAATTACATTTATAGCCTGAGTATCACATCTCTTGGTCCTTTTTAGTTGTAATAGGAAAAAGCTGGTTAATCCACCACTGTACAAATGGAAGGAAAACATGTTGTTTATAAGAGAAGGGGGGATGATTAATAGATATGGATAGATATATCTGGAAATACATTTTTACTTTAATGTGGTCCCACCTTCTGTCTTGGACATACAGGCAGTGTGATTGTAGCATCTGTTACCACACTCATCACCCGAGTTGATTTAGCCATTGTGACTGCTTGTACCATCTGACACTTAGTCTGTGACACCTAACCTTCAGATAGAGATCCCTAGTGGATGGTGACATTTTCATGGATTAACTGAACCTTTTGCCCTTTATCTCAATGCTTTTATACTCTCAGACACAGCTTTGGTTGCTCTGTATTTACTAGGTTTTTCCTGTGTTCTTATACAATTGGGGATTGACAAATAACACATCAACCCAGTGTTACCTTGAAAATAAATTAAATCAGAATGTCATTAAATGTCTTTCAGATAAATTTGGTTAATAATAATTAAGCTAGGTGATCGTTCAAGATCTAGTCATCATTGATATTTACTCTGTATTTGATTTAAATGCTATTCACTCAGAATCACAGCTTTGCATTTAGTGTAGTGATATGAAACATTAGATCATAAGTCATAATGTGTTCAAGTCGTAGCTTTACAATGGGCTGGTCACATGACCTTGATCCAGTTAATTTTTTTCCTTTTTTTTGGAAAACTTGGTTGTTTCATTTGAAAAATGATGGACAAAAGGAGTTGGACCAGATGGCTTCTACCATCTCTTCTACCTTGAAGGTCCATGAGAATTCAAGATTTCTCAGCTCTCTTCATCAATCAAAGAGTCCAAAGTTCAAAAGTACTTCCTTCATAGAAGGAGCATGTTCATCGTGTGGTAATATGGTAGGCATACCATATTACTATACATAATTGTAACAGTCATCTATTTTTGTGTAACAAATCACCACAGATGCAGCAGCTTCAAACAACACATATTTATTATTTCACGGTTTCCGTAGGTCAGAAGCCTGGGCATGGCTTAGCTAGGTTTCTGTTCTGGGCTTCACAAGGTTGCAATTGTGGTACCATATGGGCTGTGCTTTCCTCTGGAGGTCAACTTGGAAATAATCAACATTCAACCTTATTCGGGTTTTTGGCAGAATTTATTTCATTACAGAGTATGACTGAAGGTCTCCGCTTTTTTCTCACTGTTGGCTGGAGATTGCCCTCAGATCTTAGAGGAACTATAGTTTCTGCCATGTAGGCTTTTCTAGAAACATGAACACTACTATGGCTTGAATGTTTATACCTTCTAAAATTCATGTTGAAAGAATCTTCAGTGTGGCAGTATTGAGAAGTGGGGTCTTTAAAGAGAGGATTGTGACGTAGGACTCTATCCTCATGAATGAATTAATGGATTAGTTTGTTGTCATGGGAATTGAACTAGTGGCTTTATAAGAAGATAAAAAGAGACCTGAGCCAGCCTGCTCAGCCCTCTTGCCATGAAATGTCCTGTGCTGCCTCCTGACCCTACAGAGAGTCCCACGCAGCAAGAAGGCTCTTGCCAGGTGCATCCCCTTGACCTTGGTCTTCTCAGTCTTCCTACATGTGAAATAAATGCCTATTCTTTATAAATTACCAGTTTAAGGTATTCTGTTATAAGCACAGAAAATGGAATAAGACAACCACTTACTTCATCAAGCCCACTAAGAGAGTACCTAGTGCCAGTCTCCTAAAATGAAATCTTCTAAAGTGTAACATAATATTGACAGTGACATCTGTCATCACCTTTGCCACATAGCTTACCATAATTAGAGGAGTGACATCCCATCACATTTGCTATATGATATTGGCTAGAATCAAATCAAAACTCCTGTCCACACTCAAGGGAAGAGGATTGCAGAAATCATTGGGGTCACCTTTGGTTCTATTCACCAAGATAGTATTAGTAATAGATAATATGTCTGAACCTTCACCTTGTTATAGCACTTTCTAAGTCTTTATAATTATTGCTAATTTAATCTTGACAAACATATATGTGGTACTATTAATATCTTCATTTTATCTATGCAGAAATCATCTCAAAGAGGATCAGTATCTCTCCCAAAGTAACCCAGAATAAGAATTCTTTTTTATATTTCTATGTTTGGGTTTTCAAAACTTTCATGGGAATTGCATATATTCTCCTAGCTATTTCATAAACGGTTAAGGAAGCCAATACTTAAGCAGTCAAGTGTACTTTGATTATTCTTTCATTGTCTAAATAGCTAAGCTCTACTAGAAATATTAGATAGACAGGAAAGTAGCATACATCTTTTTAAATTATCAAAGTATCTTTTATACATACAGATATGAGGGGCATACTGACATTGGGAAGGTGGGAGGGGGGCTTGAGAGCTCACATGCTGCTCTGTGTAAGTGTTCCTATGACAAATTTTAGTACAGTTGCAACAGAATATAGAGTGAGAAGGTAAAAACTCATGATATTGTCTGTTGGAGCTATTTATCTCTGGCACACGATGAACATTTGGACAATTTTTTTTTTTTTTTTGAGACAGAGTCTCACTCTGTCACCAGGCACCAGGCTAGAGTGCAGTGGTGTATTCTTGGCTCACTGCAACCTCCGCCTCCCGGGTTCAGGCAATTCTCCTGCCTCAGCCTCCCGAGTAGCTGGGACTATAGGCACATGCCACCATGCCCAGCTAATTTTTGTATTTTTAGTAGAGACGGGGCTTCACCATGTTGGCCAGGATGGTCTTGATCTCTTGACCTCATGATCTACCTGCGTCAGCCTCCCAAAGTGCTAGGATTACAGGCTTGAGCCACCATGCCTGGCCTGGACAATTTGTTTTTAACAGCTCTGGGCACCATGTCAGACACTTCTTTTGCATGCTTGAGGATTTGGTCTCCATTTGCTCTTGCAGAACTTTACAGTGAGGCCTGGTACAGGAGATGTTATTAAGTGTGGAACCACGGATAATCTACACTTGCTTTTCCTCTGGGATTTTTTAGGCTCAATTTTTCTGGCTCTCTGCACTTGTGGATGAACATGCCTCTAACACAAACCTGATTGTAAGTAGCATTGCCTGTCAGTCAGGAGTTGGCTGGGCACACGGGAAAGTTGAAAAGAGGATGTACCAGGCTTTCTTCAGCTCTCCCTACCAAGGCAGTACATGCAGCTAGAATCAGGTTCATTAATACCAATGAGAAATATTGGGTTTAGTCTATTTTTCAATTCACTTAGCTTTCTTTTAAAAAAAAATTAAGAGGTTTATCTTTGTGACAGGGTGTGTCTGTCATGATTAATCAGATATATTGAATGGGCAAATGGTTTAATAGTTACTGCAATTTGTCACATCAGACATGGCTTATCATGCATTATTAATACTTAAATATAAAATTAGTTAAACTGGGTCTGGCTTCTGTTCAAGAGAGTTATGTGTTAGCAGTAGCAAGTGTGAAAGAATGCTCAAAGGGATGGTTTAACCAATCTTGCCATATCCTTTCCATTTTAGTATCAGGATGTCCTCATAGGATAATTAAGTTGAGGAAATCTTTATTCATCAGGAGGGCAAACAGCCATCCACTTGAGAGGCAAATGTTTCAGACTTCATTAACATGGAGACCCAACAGGTCATATAATCTAGAAAGATGTAGTTCTTTTTTTTTCCAAAGCAAAATGAAAGTTCAGAGATATATTTATTTTATTTATTTATTTTAAATGTGTCAATGGGACCACGCTTTTTTGAGATTTGGGTAGAATCCTTCCTTGCCCCTTTCTCCCCTCCTTCTTTGATTTTTATATATTTTTTAATTTTTTGTATTGTACTTTAGGTTCTGGGGTACATGTGCAGATCATGCAGGATTGTTGCATAGGTACACACATGGCAATGTGGTTTGCTGCCTCCATCCCCCCATCACCAACATCTGGCATTTCTCCTCATGTTATGCCTCCCTGACCTCCCCATCACCCTCCAATGTTCCTCCCTTGGCCCCCCCAACAGACCCCAGTGTGTGACGCTCCCCTCCCTGTGTCCATGTGTTCTCATTGTTCAACACCCGCCTATGAGTGAGAACATGAGGTGTTTGATTTTCTGTTCTTGTATCAGTTTGCTGAGAATGATGGTTTTCAGATTCATCCATATCCCTACAAAGGACATGAACTCATTGTTTTTTATATGGCTGCATAGTATTTCATGGTGTATATGTGCCACATTTTCCTTGTCCAGTCTATCATCGATGGGCATTTGGGTTGGTTCCAGGTCTTTGCTATTGTAAGCAGTGCCTCTATGAACATACATGTGCATGTGTCTTTATAAGAGAATGATTTACAATCCTTTGAGTATACACCCAGTAATGGGATTGCTGGGTCAAATGGAATTTCTATTTCTAGGTGTTTGAGGAATCTCCACACTGTCTTCCACAATATATTTATTTTTAATGCATTTTATTTGCAAACGCTAACAACATATATTTATCTTGGCACTTGTACTCTTTTTCTAAATTCAATAAACATACAGTTATATCTTTAAACATAGAGAACAAACTTCGATAGCTGCTTTAGAGCTAGATATAAAACAAATAGGAGTCCTGCTCATGTCTACATGTTATTGTCTACATGTTAGTGTCTACAAAATAGCAATGGTTTTCTTTGAGGAGTATATGGAGATCAGGTCTTTTCTGTTTCTCCTCAGTCAAGAAAGGGCTTCAGTCTTGTATGTTTATCATTAACACCCATTTGGCTGATTCCTCAGGTGTTTATTCCAATGAAAGAAAAGCTTATGTCAAGATAATACTAACTTAATTGAGGCAATAGTTGCTGCCTCATATTTGTAAGTCAAATATGACCTCCTATTCCAACTGCTTACTTCAATCCATTCTAAAGAGATGGCCATTTCTATCTAAGAAGGATCCTAGTGATCAGTCAGTCCAATAATCACTTAGAATTTAACTTGCAAACTCCAACCCATTTTAAGAAGACCAGTTTTATACTTTTCATATCTCTTGAAAACTGAATTCTTACATATATTGTCATGAACAATTATGTAAGTTGTATTCTTACATAATTATTTGGCAAAATCAGTTTCTAAGATATTCATTAGTATGTGTTCATGACTATTTTTTCCCCTTCAATTCGTATTGAAAACTCATTATACAATTAGAGTCCTACTAGGTACAGTGAGATATTTAGAATTCTCAGATGAGAGCCAGGTCTGTGGAGAGATCACAATATACTTGAAAAGATTAAAATATCTGGATGGAATAAACTTATAGTTTGGGACATGTTCATACTATGTTCTTTAGAAATTTGGAGGAGATGGGCAAAGGCTGAGAATGTTGGCTAAGCCCTTGTGAAAGAGTTTGAATTTGAGCTTGGACAGGAGGAGGATGGCTGGGATTTAGATGGATGAAGGGTCAAGAAGGAGAATACTAAGTAAGAAGAACAATATGATGAAAGGCTTTTGGTTATAAGTATGGTATATGTTGCACAACATGAGACTATTAGCTTGATTTGTTTAGAAGGAAATGGCCTTAGGTAGATAGGATTAGGTCAGATGACAGAAGACTTTTAAAAAGTGTAGACAGAGTTAGATTTTATATACCAATTGATTTGGAACCCCTCAAAATTCTGTTTGCTTCCAGAAAGTTGGCATGCTGCAAGTAGGTATTCACCCAGCAGCAGTCTAATAAGTCAATTTTGAGGTATAAGCTGATGTTTGTATCCACTTGACTCGTGGATTCTAGGCTTAACAGCCTGAAATATTCCTTTTTAAAGTACCTCTCTTATATACAGCAGCCACTAACATGGTTAAGAACTTCTTATATTCTGTGAAAAAGATGTAGAATCATGATAGGTTAGTACAAGCAATAATCACTGAGTATTTGCAAATCTATCAGGAGGAAAACAATATTTTTTATCTGAATCTTTTCAAAATTTATCTCTGAAACTCCAAAAAGTCATATAGTTATGCCATCCTGTCAATAAAGCATACAAAACCTTGGCCATAATGTTTTTACATCATTACTACTGATTGGACTTGCCTCATAGACCTGATGCATTCTTTATGAATTAGCATAAGCAAAAGTGAAATATCTCTCTGGAAGTTACGTCAGCAAAATACATTTGCTATTTAATATGGTAAATTTTATGTCAGTTAGAAAGCAACTGGATTATCTTCTTTATAATATATTCTCAATGTACTTCACTTTGCTTGTAGTGATGATATAAAAATAGTGTCTATAGCAAACATATTCATATTTTCAAGTGGTATTTCTAAGCCTTTGATACATGCAGTCAGTCAATCCTTCTTTTATAACTTGTATACAAATTCACATTCAGCCTTCTTCATGTGATATTTTCATGGCTAGAATTCTACCTCTCATAAATGGTGGTACCTTTCCCAATGAGATTCTGTTTTCTATAGAAGAATTACTTTCAATAAGAATTATTTTTTATTTAATCAGAAGCCGATATAATTTCAGATTAAATTCCCAAGGCAAAATAGTTTAGTCAGCCCAGCTAATATTAGTAGGGTTATTTTAATCCCATTGAAACTTTTCAGTGATGTGAAGCATTCATTTCATTTAGTGGCTATCCCATTGCTATAGCTCAGTTTCAAAAGAATTGCTTAAATTAATAGTAGGACCATAGAGAGTTAGAAGCAGCATTAGGCTTCATTTCTTTTAGGGTTCTCTGACAGGTGGGGAGCACCACAAAATGTTTGATGTGCATTTTATTTATTTCTGTTGAAGCATGTAAGTATTTTTAGGATAGATGTAATGATGTGACCAGTTTACCTCTGTCCTGAACACTTCCTGCTACATTTACCTAGCTGTTTCACACCTTGGTGTCACCTTCTGGAAGTATTTCTGTCTGTATCTCTGTATAGATTTTCCTCCGTGTGTAAGTGATTAAAAAATTTTTGGGCTAAAAGTGGGTGAAAGATCTCCAAAGTAATTTCTGAAGTTTAAAAATATGGAGACTCTTCTTGGATCAGAAAATAACTAGGATGGCAATTTAACATACTTTTCACTAAACTAGATTTACTTGGTATTTTCTGTGTGCATAATTCATTGCCATCCATTGCCAATTTATATAGAGAGAAAACTTCAGAAAGTGGAATTTTATTAACATTGCACCTGTGATCTAAATTTAAGCAAGATCTTGAGGAGGATGCAAAATGTTTGAATGAATCATTTCTTTTTGTTATTTAAAAAACGTTACTATTTATAAGACCTCAATACTACCTGGAATTTCTTTAAGTGAAAAATTCTACTCACCTGTAATCACACCTGGATGTACTGGATGGAATGCTCTGAGGGATTCCTGAGCTGCCTGGCACTTGTTTGGCTTGTGTGTTTGGACTTACGTCCATTAAGATGGGATGCTTCTGATACTTGAAATGCCTTCAAAGAACTAAACCTTTTGCAGTGTGCCTAGGACTTGTTTATCCTCTGAGCTTTATTTTTGAGAAACTCTAATTCATTTTCAAGGAGAAGTGTCAAAGGATTGGGTTTGTGTGTGTGATTGTAGCTAGTTCACTCCAGAAGCACAGGCACGGACTAGCAGAGAGGAACAGAGATGGCCTGAGCAACAGGAAAGACTAGTTTTCAGTCCTAGTCATACAATGTCTTCAGAAAAATGGGCATAGGATTCTGCTCTCCACTATTCATTCTGACCACCAGATACTGTTCTTACTTCCCACACCAGTAAATCATTTGAATGCAAAAGAAAAAGAAAAAAAAAATTGCTCCTAGTGCTAAGAAAAGTGAGATGGCAAGAAGACAATGAGGCGTTGGGAAAGACATTGGTTCCAGAAATTGGATTCTAGGCATGTAGTGCCAGAATGGAGGACTTTTATTTAATTTTATAGAAAAATGTTCGGGTTATTTTACACTGAGATGTGAAATCTCATTTGCAGCTAAGCCCCGGAGGGAGTGAAAGGAACTAGGAGAGCTCATAAAGACAAACGTAATAGGATTAATAAGAAAAAGGCCGAAGACATAAGCCTTTATTGTAGGAACTCGGCGCTAAATTTTAGCATTGATGAAGGGTGAAATGTCGATACTTATCCAAACAGTTGTGCCTCAGGGTACAAAAACTAAAGGATGATGCCTTCATAGACTCATGCTCCTTGGGTAGGTTATATGCTCTTCTCAAATAAGGAGCCACTCTGATAGAACAAGGAGAAACCATCACTGTGTGGCAGCAATTCCTGAACCCTCATTCACATAAATAATTCTCAGAATGTATTTTATATTATTAAAGCAAAGTTTAGGGTTGAACAATAATGCAATGAATTAAGGATTGGAAAATCATTTGATAATCAAGGGCCTGAATGTTAAATTATTTGTTTATGTATTTACACCTCGAATAATACCAAATAGGCTTCTTAGAGAGTCAATTCATATGAGAGTTCCAAGTCACTCATGAACATGATTAGGATATAAGGTGGTAATCAAATTGCTCCATAGTTGCTTCGTTTTTTTCTTTTATAAAGGTTGATTGCCACAAAATAATTTAGGCTAAAAATGTGTCTGCTGAGGCCATTTAAGTAACTGTATCAAAGGAACATCATCGAGTTATTTCAACTGCACACTGGTGCCTATTGTCAGGGTAGAATTTGCAGCACCTGTTTTGTAACTAGATAATGATGTTGACTTTAGGCCAAAAGAAAATGAAGCCCTTTGGGGGTAATTTTAATCCCCAAAGGGCTTCATTCATTTTTCTAATTTATGGTGCTGAACTGATTGTTTTTCAGCATTATTTTCCTTATAAGTGTATTTTTAAAGTATTGTTTTTAATACAATATTAATGCTAATAAATTGACAGAAGCATAGCTATCAGGCGAAATAGTCTGAGCATTGTATACACGATCATCATACAACCATGGTTTAGAAATGGTGCTGAAGAGTCCTCTCATGCCCAACACTCTTGGTGCACTCATTGACACTTTTAGGTTTCGTATTTATCATAATGGATATATACTATAATTACAGAAATATAAACTATATGAGGATATATATAAATTCTAGAACATGGAAATGTACACTTTGGTTTAAGGCAGCAACATATGTAGGAAGCTTTTTTAGTTTACATATTTTATATTTACATATTACATATTTTTTAATTTACATATCTTTAAATGTAAACATTTAGAAGTTTGTTTTTGACAGTCTGATAAAAATATCCATTCCTCCCTATGCATAAGTAACACCAATATACTCTCCTCCTTTTATGAGGTTATCTTCATGAGGTGGTAGGTTGGCCAAATCTTTTCTCCCTGTTTAATTCAACAATGTATTTCTGACCAAGAAACTTATACATAAATATAATACCTTCTTTTAATGTATAACAGATTTCTTCAAATAGCAGTACCTGGTCCTGACATATCTATTAACAAGATAATTTTGCAAAGATGATACAGATTTTAATTTAGTTAATAGGAGTTCCTATTTGTAAGTCTCCACGGTATACAATAGAGTTCCTTTTGAGAAAGGTGGGCACTTAGTCTTTTAAATCAATTTAAAGGAGTTTGTTTAAGAAGATACTACCCTGATGGGTCACGTTTCTCAAGTCTCTATTTATTGTGACTATCACTGGGATCATGGCTATTTTTGTTTTCATCACCATTATCACGTCCCTGTCTTCACGTTGTAGAGCTCCTGATTTAAAATGTCCCTCATGTACATAACCAAATATATTAGGACCAAAATATTCAGTTTGACTGTTTCTTGTGAAGCTGTTTGGCTTCACATGCAGATGCTGGATCCAATATTTTGAGCATCCACCATGTGCTGGGTTCTAAATGAATCCCAGCCAATGTGAAGTACTGAATGTTCTAGCCTCATCATGTTAACACACGTCGCTTATAGCCTTAATTTTACAACTCTACTTACTGCCTTATACTTCTTGAAGATATGAAAATGAGATATGACCAAAATTTGTCCATTTTTATTTGAGTGGGTCATCAGTAGAGGCATGCAAATGACAAGGTCCTGTAAACACCAGCTACACTGGTGCCTGGGCTGCCTTAATGAGCCAATTGGAATAACTACATCCAATTCAAATGGGGACACAGGGATGAGGGCTAGACTCTTGCCAAATCATGTTACTCCCAGCTATCCAATTTTGTTGCATTTTTATTTGTACTTCCCCTTCCACACTTGACACTGATTACTCAGTGCATTTCTCCTGGAAATGCTTTTCCTCTGTCCCTTTATGAGTAAAACAAAACAAAAAAAATCCTTTGATCTTTTCCTTTTCTCAATACTTCAGGACTTGCATTAACAGTTCTAGGGAGAGAATGGCTCTTTTCTTATTTGTGTAAAGGACTCATTGAGAAATGGATGATAGACCTGGTGACAAGCAAGAGAAAATGCAATTGGGTGCCTGAAGGAAGGAGGGAATATCTACCCTCATCTATCACCACTGATTAGCTACAGTGTGAGAGAGGCAGAGACAGAGAGAGAGAGAGAGAGATCAGAAATAACAAATGGATTCTGGAGAGAGGCTCGGCTTCGCTGCCTGTTTTTTCTGGCTTATCAATCATCTCCGGTGTGGCTGATAGGTGGTTCTGTCACTCCTACCTCCATCCCACCCACCAGAAAATCTGTAACTGTGACAGGCATTCCCCTGTCCAGTCCTTTCAGTAGCAATAGTAGATTCAGCTCCTGCACAAAATGTCTGAGAATCGGTGTCTTATTGTCTGATGTTTCTATTCTGATTTACCTTAGAAGCGTGTGTTAATGTGATTCCCATCCATTTGCTCAGGCTGTGGCCTTGCCAGTACCTCCTTGGGGTGGATGTTGGCAGCATGCTTGTCATGTTTATCGTGCAAGCACAGTGATAGGCCGACATTACATAAAACATTTATAGGAGGTGGGGTAGGGGTTGGGAGGGTCCATAAAACTGTTGAAGCCATCCAAGTGTGAAATGGAAAGATGAAGAAAGTGTTTTCCTAAAGCCATTTATATCTGTCATCTGTTCTGAGTCTCACTTGTAATGTGTCTCCTGTTCAGTCCCTTCCTCCCACCTTTGCTCCTTAAGCTTTATCTTCCTCTGGGAAAACATATCTGGAGAGGCACAGTTGTAAAGAGAGTGGCATCTTTGTATACAACAAAAACTTTTGTAGCAAAGTGTTCTGTTGACATTGTACACTCTCCAAGGAATTTACTGGCTTGGCATTCATTTGAGCATGAACATGTGAGTGGTTACAAAATCACATGATTTGTCTTTTGAAATGTGTATGAGAGAGAACATGTGTGCTACCTGGCGATGTTTGCTGTGAAAGAAAATCACAGCACTTTATACCACTCTGTAAGCACTGTTCATTTTCTTCACCCTGATCCTTGGTTCAGTTTCCATTTTTCTCTAAATTATAGAGAACAGAAACCTTAATCTCACAGATTGATACCAGTTCTCAATCTGCACAGGCTAACTCTTGAGTGTTGATTAGCTGTTTGTGTATTTTGCATTTGTCCTTACCGAAAATTTTTCCTACTCAAGACTCGGATGAGCTTCAGTGAAGAGGAAGGAGAGGTACTGACACTCTGTGCTTCTATCAGTCAGACAGCGACTCATAGGATTTCCACTTATTTTGTTTTGATCCTTGCAGGACCAGTGTGAATTGGGCATCATTAGTTTATCTTATACATATAGAAAATGAATCCTAGACACGAACTAAAGAGACTGCAAATGGTCTCTTCCTAGTTTTACTACTGACTCTTCTGCTATACAATGATGCCTTGATTGTCTGCTATTCCCTTGGGCTCCTCAAGCATGATGTGCCCATATTAATGCTCAGCTATCCCTTTGGAAGACACTCAATGGCCCATGTCTTTGAATGCACCTTCAGGAACTTCAAATTTAACCCTCAACCTCCTCTCAGCTCAAGTAATTAAAAGATAAGACTATAAAACAGTAAGAATACAGCTTAAATGAGTAAACTAGAATATATAGAGAGAGCTGATTATTATAGATTCTTATGTCATTATTCTAATAATATTATTGCTCATATTATGAAAAATTTTGGGGGGAATATAATTATTTTATGAATCACAAAGAAAACTTATTACTTTAAAATCATCCTTTATTTTTCGATCCAAATAGTGTTACCCAAGTTGACCACTCTCGGTTTATTCAAGACTTGATTCAAAAATCACATTTTTCTCATTGTAAGAACATTCTGGAGATGAAAGTTCAGGAGTTCTAGGGTATATAGCCTGGTTCAGCCATTTACCAGTTGTGTATTCTTGTATCTTTTCGTTAATATCTCTGATTCCCAGTTTTCTCAGCTGCAAAATGGGGATAGTGATGTATAGGGTTCTATGAAAACTAAACTGTTGAACACCCAGACCACGTCCACCCTGCGAGCACAGAGCCTCACCCTCACCACTCTGCCGCCTGTCCACACCTACCATCAGCTCACCATGGATGAGGATATGGCCGCACTCATTGTGGACAACAGCTCCAGCATGTGCAAGGCCAGATTCATGGGTGACGATGCCCCCAGGCCATCTTCCCCTCCATCGTGGGGCACCCCAGGCACCAGGGCATGATTTGGGCCTGAGTCAGAGGGACTCCTATGTGGGTGACAAGGCCCAGAGCAAGATAGGGATCCTGACCCCTGAAATACCCCACTGAGCACGGCATCATCACCAACTGGGATGACATGGAGAAGATCTGGTACCACACCTTCTACCACGAGCTGCATGTGGCTCCCGAGGAGTACCCTGTGCTGCTGACCAAGGCCCTCCTGAACCCCAAGGCCAACTTAGAGAAGATGACCCAGATCATGTTTGAGACCTTCAACACACTAGCCATGTACATGGTCATCCTGGCTGTGCTATCCCTGTGCACCTCTGGCCGTACCACTGGCATCATGATGGACTCCAGTGATGGGGTCACCCACACTGTGTCCATCTACGAGGGGTATGCCCTCCCCCACGCCATCCTGCATCTGGACTTCTGGCTGGGACCTGACTGATTACCTCATGAAGATCCTCACCTAGCATGGCTGCAGCTTCACCACCATGGCAGAGTGGGAAATCCTGTGTGACATCAAGGAGAAGCTTTGCTACATCACCCTGGACTTCGAGCAGGAAATGGCCACAGCGGCCTCCAGCTCCTCCCTAGAGAAGAGCTATGATCTGCTGGATGGCCAGGTCATCACCACTGGCAATGAGCAGTTCTGCTGCCCCAAGGCATGCTTCCAGCCTTCCTTCCTGGGCATGGAATCCTGTGGCATCCATGAAACTACATTCAACTCTATCATGAAGTGTGACATGGACATCCGCAAAGACCTGTTTATCAACACAGTGCTGTCTGGTCGTACCACCATTTACCCTGGCATCGCTGACAGAGTATAGAAGGAGATCACCACCCTGGCATGCAGCACGATGAAGATCAAGATCATTGCTCCTCCCAAGAGCAAGTACACCATGTGGATCGGCAGCTCCATCCTGACATCACTGTCCATCTTCCAGCAGATGTGGATAAGGAAGCAGGAGTGCAACTAGTCTGGCCCCTCCATCGTCCACTGCAAATGCTTCTAGGTGGGCTGTGACTTAGCTGTGTTACACCCTTTCTTGACGAAACCTAACTTGTGCAGAATACAAGATGAGATTGGCATGGCTTTATTTGTTTTTTGCTTTGTTTTGTTTTGTTTTGCTTTTTTGGCTTGACTCAGGATTTTAAAAACTGAAATGGTGAAGACGACAGTAGTCCGTTGGAGGGAGCATCCCCCAAGGTTCTACAATGTGGCCTAGGACTTTGATTGGACATTATTCTTTTTTTAATAGTCATTCCAAATATCGTGAGATACGTTATTACAGGAAGTCCCTTGCCCTCCCAAAAGCCAACCCCACTTCTCTCTAAGGAGAATAACCCAGTACTCTCCCACGTCCATACAGGGGAGGTAATAGCATTGCTTTCATGTAAATTATGTAATGCAAATTTTTTTTAATTTTTGCCTTAATACTTTTTTATTTTGAAAGATATTAGCCTTTGTGGCTGCCCCATTTTTGTCCCTCAACTTGAGATGTATGAAGGCTTTTGGTCTCCCTGGGAGTGGTGGAGGCAGCCAGCACTTACCTGTACACTGATTTGAGACCAGTTGAATAAAAATGCACACACATACCAAAAAAAAAAAAGAAAATTAAAATGTTAAATTATGATTTAATATCTATTAAGCACTTAGCATAATACCTACTATATTTAGGGGTTAAGTAAAGGCATGATAGTTTATTTACTTTAAAAATATGATTTTAAGAAATCACTAAAAATTCCAAAGACTGTCTACTAAATTATTTAAATCAATATCAAAAGAGAAATGTAAAATGGTCAAATTACTTTTATAATGTTATAACACGAGCATATTATAAAGGATTATGATTTGGTTAGGGAGATACGTGCCTTGTTAATAATTCAATTCTATTATTTATAGCTGGTTAGACTCACCAAGCATATGTTGGGTGGGCAATAAAGAATGGTGCACTGAAGTTATGGTCTGTCAATACATTTAAATTAAGATTGACTAGAAAATTTGAAACATATATACAAAGAACATGAGAATGAAAAGTGTATGTAATTATTATTTACTAATGCTTTATACATTTTTTTACAGTTTTATAATCAGTGTATCCATTTTTAAATGAAAAACCCTTGAAGACAAGTAACATTTATTTCTATGCACGGTGTCTTGCATGGAACACACTGTGGCTATATTTGAATAAGTCTTCTATTCTAGCCACTCCTCTGAATCAATGTCTTTCTATGGTTATCTTTAAAGATGTCTGGATATATTAATCCTTTCAACAACCACACTAGATTAATGGACAAGTAATTATTTTTTTTTTTTTTTTTGAGACAGAGTTTCCCTCTTGTTACCCAGGCTGGAGTGCAATGGCGCGATCTCGGCTCACCGTAACCTCCGCCCCCTGGGTTCAGGCAATTCTCCTGCCCCAGCCTCCTGAGTCGCTGGGATTACAGGCACGCGCCACCATGCCCAGCTAATTTTTTGTATTTTTAGTAGAGACGGGGTTTCACCGTGTTGACCAGGATGGTCTCGATCTCTTGACCTCGTGATCCACCCGCCTCGGCCTCCCAAAGTGCTGGGATTACAGGCTTGAGCCACCGCACCCGGCCAAGTAATTAATTAATGTACACTCTTCTTGCCTATAGTCATTAAGAAATTAGGATAAATCTAACCTTTGCCCACATATTTCTTAGAGAATGCACCCTGCTTTAAGAAAGCCCAATATAAAACACCTAAATTTGCAAGTAAATCAATGGCCAATGTTTATTTTCTTAAAGGATGTCCATATGGTGTTTAGAGTGAATACTTCTAGGAATATGGTAACAGTGTTGAAGTGAGAAATGCTTGTGTTATTAAACTACATCATCATAACAGCCATTGTTACACATCTCTGTGGCACTAACTCCTAATCTACACACTATAATTTTATTCACTCCTCTATTATGAAAGGGTGTATTTTTAAATCAATATAGTTGGTATATATAGGTGTATACTTGGTTTCTCATATGAATTTTATTTCTCTGATTGGAGGGGCAAAATAAACTAACAGAAAAATGCCTTTGACAGATGAAGGCCAGTAAAGAGGAAATCTGTCCCTGCAGGCTTAGTTTTCCTGCCTGAAACTGTGCTAGTCTTTGGAGCTGTTGTGTGCATTCTTAGAAAGCACAGTAGTGATGGGAGCTGAGAACTTACTCCTTACTCAACTTTGCCTACTTACGTGGAGGCATCATAAGGTTGTCAAGAGGAATCATACCGATAATCACTAGAAAATAAAATCCTTGATTCTGGGTCAACCCAGGAACCAAGAGAAGGTGACAATTGACCACGGTTGTGGTGTGCATAGCTGTATACCAGGACCACCGGTAACTTTAAAATCACATATGTGACTCATGTGTGGTCTGAATTATACTTATTTTGGTCAGTGCTATTCAGAGTCAGACCAACTTAGATTCAAATACAGCTTGTGCCATTTACTAGTGAATTTAGGCAAAAATTCTTAAAAATCAGGGCATCAGTTTCCAACATACCACAAAAAGAGTGATAAATACACATCTTATAAGACATTTTGAGAATTGAGTTAAAATAAAATATGAACCCAGCAGGTGCCTGGGAAAAAGACAACATTCAATAAATGTTAGCTCCTTATCACATCCATCCCCTTCATACGTACATATATGAATATGGCTAAGAATATATATATTATGCGTGTGTGTATTTTAGTCTTTAAGGACAACCAGAATACTCTTTTTAAAAATCCAGTTCTTGGCCAGGTGCGGTACCTCATGTCTGTAATCCCAGCACTTTGGGAGGCCAAGGCGGGTGGATCACTTGAGGTCAGGAGTTCAAGACCAGCCTGACCAACATGGTAAAACCCGTCTCTATCAAATGATACAAAAATTAGCAGGGCGTGGTGGTGTGCTCTTGTAGTCCTATCTACTCAGGAAGCTGAGGTGGGAGAATCACTGAGCTCAGGAGGCTGAGGTTGCAGTGAGTGGAGATCACACCACTGCACTCTAGCCTGGGCAACAGAGTGAGACCCTGTATCAAAATAAATAATAAAATAAAATAAAAATCCTGTTATTTTAAAGAGCTCTTTTCAAATACAGGCTGTCGCTCAATAGTCATATCAGTTGTGGTAATGTATATGTACATACTATTAAGGGGTAAATAACACCTACCTCCCAGAGTTGTTCTATGAACTATAAATGATCCTTGTAAAACACCTAGCATATTACCTGACATTGGTACTTAATATATTGCATATACCATTATCATTTATGTCATTATCATTAACAATCATCATCATGATCACCGTTATCATTATCACTAAACAAAGCAGCTGGTAACTGCACATATAGGAGATGTATATATGTATAGCTCACTGCTCCCTTTTGCTATCTGATTTACGGGGAAGACAGTTTAATTCTACCACAACCTTAATTTGCCTATGCATAACTGAGGTGATACCTTTAAGAGGCAAAAAGAAAGAGTGTGTCAGCTGAGTGGCAGTCACATGGTGGGCATTTTAATCAAAGTCTCTTCCTAGGCTTCTTTTTCACCGTCATCTGCTAGCAAAACTTGTTCAGTCCTTTCCTCTTGTTCCCTTTCTCTCTGCCCTCTTACTTAGATAGTTTTTGCCGTGTTTCCACGTTCCTGTTTCCTGAGCTGAGACCTTTCCCTCTCTTCAGCACATAGAACAAACACATTTGCCTCTAGTCCTCTAGGTAGCTAATTAACATAACATGTTCTGAGGTTTTATGTGTGTGTGTGTGTGTGTGTGTGTGTGTGTGTGTGTGTGTGTTTAACTTATGACTTGGTATTGTTTTTCCTAGCTCTGACTTGGCAACTATATTTATTTGAAAAAACAAAATGTGCTATGATTTGCTTTTCTAATTTTCAGAGAGCTCTTCTAGTTACAAGGGGGTTGGATTTTCCAGTGGCTGGTGCCAGCAAGCTGGGACTGCACACAGAGCTCTGTGCTAGGCAAGGAAATACTTCATTAGACTTGTATTCCATGAAGGCACTTTTGCTTCTTAACGCCTGTGATTTTAATTAAAACCTGGAAAGTAAAGAATCTTCTAGTTGTATTAATGCTTTCATTTCCATTAGGACAGTGTAGTTTATAAACAGTATCTGGGTTTATAAATTAGTCCTCATGCGAATAATAAGTACACAATGTCACATAGAAAGGAAAACTCTGCCAGCCCATCTGTTCTCTCACTCTTTTTTCTTCGATTGTTGTTTTCCTCTTTGGAGAATCATGGAGAAATGGTTCTTGATTTCTTTTATCTCTATCTATCTCTGATATCCTTTAACCATGTCTCACAGGACTGCGTATGCTAAAACCAGATTTTATTCTGGGTTGATAGACAGGGGCTTTGGTAGTTCATTTGTATGTAAATCTAAAGTAAAAATAAATAAAATTCAGTCATTAAATTCACTTGGGAGACAAAATTTTCTTTTTCTATAAATCTTGATATCTTAGAACATTTTAGCTTTTCAGAATACAAAAGTGTATGGGTATACACACACACACACAAATGCATACACATGTGTTTATATTTCTAAAGTAGAGAGGTTACCAGACACAATTACTTTATGTACAGTGCTTAATTAGTGGGTTATCATTTTCCTTCATATACATCAAGAAATGTAACCAGATAAACAATTATGGAATTATAGTTAAGATTCTGACAAAAATACATAAAATCAGTATTCTATGAAATTTCTGTTTATGCAAAAGCAAATGATCAATATTATTTATTTCAGTAAAAGCTTTCAATTAGAGAAAATTATATAGGGGTCAAAATGAACCAGGAACTGGACATATGTCAGTTCTGTAGACATATTGGTCTCTGGAATCCTTTTTGAAAACAGGGCAGTATAAATTATAAATAAACGTAGACATATTTAAAGAAGTAAGTATTCTATGGGGAGGAATAAACTCCTAGAACTACTTTTTATTGATTAGAGACTTAGGTGGCTTCCATTCCATCAGCACTCAGGAGTCTGACTGCTTCCAGAGCTTGGAAGAATTGACTTTAAGGGTGTATATCCTTTCTGCAGGTACTTGCTGAGAACTCAACCTCGGGTGGGCTATGAAACTCTTTGGTCGAGATAATTTTCAACTGGTATTTATGTCTTGTCTATTTGAAATAATTGAATGACACAAAGAAGTGACCCTTTTATGAGGGTTATGACATCTGAGTACCCACATGGGTTACCGGTGTCACATGTGGGGCCAGGGCTCTCTCCTCTTAACACTGTGTTGTGTGTCTATCCATTTCTTTTTGCATAGAGAGTTAAGGTCCAGGCTCATTTTGTCTGTGTCTTGTAAGCATAGAAGTATCATATCTGGGAGGGTCATTGGCACTCTCTGCATATGTCTGGCACAAACTGACAGATCAGAACACTGCTAATAGGCACATCTATGGTGAAATATGCCAAAAATGAACATGTTTCCTCATAACAAAATATGCATTGCACAAACGTATGTATGGCAGTGTGATTTAAAATCCCTACAAATTACTGTAAATACAAAATACCAAATTATAATACTGTAAAGATTTATTATCAGAAAACTTATGTGGAACTTT